ATCCTTTTGATCTTGTGGAAGCTTGAATTTTAGGCTCTTATTATGGAGGCTGACAGGTACTGTAATCTTAGCTTTCCTGTTTATAAACTAGATTGTATTTGTAGGTCATAATCCTTAGATAATTCGTGGTATCTGTTAATATCTTAAAAATATGATATGCATGTCAAAAGATGCCAGTTTCTTGAATTTGCGGTCAAACTAGAATTTTTCTTACCACTATCCTTAGTTAATCTTTTAATACATTATTGAATTTTGTACCATCAGGTTAAATTCTCCCAGTACATTCACCATGACCATGGAAGTCTTAGGTCATGAATTGCGATTCTATCAGGTATTTTGTCTGGAATGTTATTTCAAATTTTCATGCGGCACATTCCTTCAGATTCAAATTATCACTGGCCAGTCTATCATATCATATCCATGGTTCTTAAAGAACATATTTCTAGTAGGTCATTGTTGATAGCTGAACTAGCAAGAGTCTACAGTGTAAAAAGAACTCATTCACTACCCCTTGACACTTGAGAGAGACTCTCTCGCTCTAATAAGGGGCAGAGGATTCAAGGTCTCTCCCAAGTGAAACATTTCTATAGTTCATTACTAATTTTTATTCATCATATTCTGCAATAACCTATCTGACAATGGAAAGTATGTTGTTATATTGCAATGTTATAGGATCCCAATTCGAAACATTTAGGAACAACAGTTTGGGATGCATCACTGGTATTTGTCAAGTTTCTGGTAATCACTGGTCTACCCTTACGTTCTCTTTGATTTCATTTGTCATAAGAGTTTTCACTTTTCTCATTCACAGTAATGGGTTTTATGTGTACCATTTTGCTTATGAAGGCAAATTTTTGTTGTTTCGGGGAAGAATTTCAATTTTGTTACTCTCTGAAGACAGCATATGACATGCCCGGTCAAATGGAACATATTTTGATTATGTTTTCTATTTGAGTAAGAAGCCTGGCATGACATTTACTTCGATTATCAACGATGTTGGTTTAAAATCTGAACATGAGTTCTCTTTGACCAAGATGCAAATACTAAGAGCTTAAAGCTTTGCAACTATTAGATTTTATGATATTCAAATGAGAACTTGAATATTCAAATAAAAAAACTATTAGATTTTATGAATTTCTAAGAATTCATCATGCCTGCCTCTATTCATCTGTGGACATAGAATATGGAATGTTGTTCAATATGACTAAGTTTACTTCAACCCTGTCTTTAACTAAAAATCGTTTGCATCCCTTATAGTATTTCATATAGCCTTTTTCATAGGTCACTATTTTGTTAGGTACCCGAATACAAGAACCTAACAGGAACACTATATTGCAATACGAAAGAGTAATTACAATACCGATAACCTTTCGAGAGGGCTATCTCTCTCCCAAGAACTCTCTCAAGTTCCTTGCCAAAATACAATTCTCCCAGATCCCCCTTCCTCTCCCTACTACCCTTATTTATAACAACTCACCCTAACTAATTATCATTCTAATTACCATACTACCCCTTCCTACTAACAAACTAATATTCTCTAATAGGACTCTCACATATTCTTTATAAACTTTAAAGCTCTCTTTTCATTGTTTCAGGAGAAGAATTGCCGAAAAGGAAAATTTAGCCCTTCAAAACTTAAAGGAAAGCGTGTCATTGAACTTGGAGCTGGTTGTGGACTAGCTGGATTTGGTGAGTTTATATTTGATGTAAAACCATTTTGCTTCGATGGACTATACCCTTCTTTTCCTTGCGAAGTTAACGATCTAATTCGACCTGGTCTTTATAGGCATGGCATTGCTTGGATGTGATGTGGTTGCGACAGATCAAAAGGAGGTTTTGCCTATACTAACAAGAAATATCGAACGTAATACTCCAAGCTTTGCACAGATGAACCCTTCAGGTAGCTTATTTTATTTTACTTTATTATTTTATTTTTTAGTTTAACCTGTTCAGGTAACTTTTCAAATTTATAAATTACAAACATTCTTGTAAGAATTATTTACATTTTTATGGTGGCAATTCAACTAGCAAAATCAGTTTATCTGAATTTGTTCTCATTTACAGTTCAACTTCCCCCACTGCCATGGGTAACTTTGTTGAGAAAAAGAAAATCTGGTTCAATTTGATTTTAAGAGCGTGTTTGTTTGATCGAGAACCTTTCTAGGACTACTTGATTAGTACACTGAGAGCACTTTTCCTCTGTGTATCTCATAAAGGAAATTGGTTCATTGTAGATTCTTTTGGTTCAATCAGTGCAGCAGAATTAGACTGGGGAAATGAAGATCATATCAAGGCTGTAGGTCCACCATTTGACTTCATTATTGGCACTGACGTGGTAAATTTATATGAGTATTTCGTTCAATAGCATGCTTTTCTTATGATTTACACAGCAAATAAGCGGCCACAAAAACCAGTAACTTTTATTATTCCATACGTAGGTCTATGCAGAACATCTCTTGGAACCACTTTTGATGACAATACATGCATTATCAGGTCCTAAAACTACAATTATGGTATGAAGAAATGTTACTTTCATCCAGTTTTTTTACGGTGGATATTATCAATTGCTCATTTGTTTATATCTTTTATGAAGTTGGGGTATGAGATTCGTTCAACAAATGTTCATGAGCAAATGCTTGACATGTGGAAAAAGAACTTTGAGGTGAAAACTGTATCAAAATCAAAGGTACACTTTATACTTCCATTGCTTCTGAGTTAAGAATTCACTCTGAAATGGATATAGATTAAGATGTTTGTCCTCGTTTGGTTGCTCTGTTATTGCATTGAGAATATCTGCAATATTGTCATTTTAGTAGCACTGATAATAGAGGAAACAGCGAATCCCAGTTATAGTCGAAGACTGAAACTGCTGTATGCTTCTGATTGTGTCATCTGTTGCAGATGGACTCCCAGTACCAACATCCCAACATTCAGCTCTACATCATGGGGCTGAAGTCTGCAGCTGGGAACACAGAGAACCCTCAAGAAGACAACATTGATCAGAAAATTGATAGAGTTTGTTCAAGTCGGGAAAATGACAAAAAGGATGTAAGTTGCGATGAAACGGATATCCAGAAGGCGGAAGAGCCAGTTACAGAAAATGCGGATGAAAAAGTGAGTGACTGGGAAGTTAGAAGAATAGGCTCGATGGCTGCTCGTCTTCTACAAGATGTAAAAATTGCTTGATCCATTCTTCGAGAGTTATTTTTTGCTGTATTCATACTTAAACTAATAGGTTACATTCATACTAATATTATGCATCACTCCCGGTGATAAAGTTTGTTTATGAAATAGTTGATGGCTTTCCTTCAATTTTTAGTGGAGTGCCGAAGTTCTTGTCCCAAAATGCTGATATATACATGCTCTGTTCAGTTTCTAATGCCTAATATCGTCAACAACACCAATCATAGTTGCAATTTTTATGTCGATTTATATGAAACAGAAAACAATGTTCCATCACATTTCAAGAAGTAGTTACAAATATGAGCTAGAATGACAACATGAATTTTATACAGCAGAAATCTGAGAATGGTTAAAGGTAATCTGACGACGAACTTCACTGCCATTGATGCTTGCTCCCGATCTTGTATCCAACTGATTACTCAAGTGAGTGAAGTTATCCACATGAATCCCCAAATAAGAAATGAGGGGATCGGCCCTTGACTTCTCAATAACAAGTCTCAAAAACTGAGATTCTACGGTTGGAAATCTTAGTATTCTCCGATATCCCACAGTGGAGCCCCTCACCACTGTCCTCCAAACACCCTCATCACTCAAAATGTCAAAATGAAATTCAATAATCCTCTGTCCCATGTGAATAGGCTCTTGAATATGCAGCAAATTAAAGGATACTAAATCTCGAAGCTTTAAATACAGAACCCAACTGGGTTGATTCTCAGCAGGAGCCCAGTAAGAGTAAATACCTTCTTTGAGGACGTTTGAGGGGACGAAGCGTCCGTCGTCGCCATCTCCTCTCGTACTGCTAGCAGCAAGAAGAGCATTTTCTGCCAAATTCTGGGAAAAAATGGAGTCCCGGAGCTTGGTGAATTCTTGAAGCACTTGTATATCTTCAGCTGATATTAAGCCCGAGGAATTTGGTGGTACGTTTAGCAACAAAAGGCAGTTTCTGCCAGCTGATTTGTAATATATGTCAAGAAGAGTACTCGCAGACTTTGGAACTTCTGATGGATGCCAGAACCAACCAGGCCTTATTGAGACATCACATTCAGCTGGAACCCAATCATGGCCAAATGGGTCACCTTCCCCAGAGTATCTGAATGCAATAGAGAGGGAGAATGAAGAAAACACCAAGCGCAGAGAGAGAGGGAGAACATCTAAATTGAGAAGTGAACTCACTGAGAATCACTGCCACCAATTTTTACAGCACTGGAGTTAAAAAGAGACCAACAAGTAGGCTTGGCAACACCAGCTTCATCACCAACCCACCGGCAGTCCGGACCGGCGTCGGAGAAAATAACAGCCCCCGGTTGGAGCTGATGAATTAGCCTAAACCAAGAATCAAAAAAATATTCCATGTCCTTCTCACCCTCTCCCTTTGCACCATCCAACCACACCTCCTTGATCTCTCCATACCTAATCAAATCAACAACACTTTTCCTCAATCAATACTGTACGCAATACATTCAGATGGCCTGAGAAGCAAATCGTCGAACACTTTATGTGCAAAAAAACAATGAAGCGAGAACCAGTACCTTGTGAGC